CCCAGCCCTGTCCCACCGTCCTCTGGGAACAGAACGGGGGTCTCTGTGTCACGCCCAGCCCTGTCCCACTGTCCTCTGGGAACAGAGGGGGGGGCTTTGTCTTACTCATTAACGGGTCAGAGCCAGAATAGAGGGTGGAACACTCAGGGATCCACTCTAACTGGTGGCCACAAGCTCTGAGACTCCTGTGGGTGTCGGTGAGACTTGGGATGGGGACCAACCCAAAGCCTGTAGGGGAAGGGGCCAGCTGACCTGGCTGCCCTTGCCCCTGAGAGGCTCTGGTGGGCATTGTTATTATGCTCAGCCTTTGGAGGTCACCTTCAGGAGCAAGAAGCCATGCAGTGGGCCTGGCCGCTCCAAACTGCACCAGGAGCCTTGCTGGGCACGTCCAGACCCCAGGACTAGGGTCAGTGGCAGGCTCGGCCAGTGGGACCCAACTCTCCCTGCAGTGCCACTAGTGAACTCCTCGAGCCCGAGGTGGGATGAGGTTAGTGGTGCAGAGCCAGGGTGATTTAACAGGGTAAGGGGACAGTGAGCGGGGAGACCCAGGAGGGGCCTGCCATGATGTGGAGGGTCACGTGGGTGCCCCTGGGCAGCCAGGGCAGAGCAGGAGGCCCTCACCGTGGCTTTGTGATGGAGTGGCGAGGTGGGGCAAGTCTGAGCACACAGGCAGAATTCAGTGGCCCAGCTGCTGGGGCTCTGGGTCATGGGTCCCTGTTGACAACCATCTCCCTGAGTGACCTGGGTGTCCACTGGCTTGGAGGTGACAGGAGAGGTGTTGTTGGGGATGTGGGGGTTGGTTGGGTGAGTCTCAAAGGCATGCTCTGCACATATGGGTCGTGGTCCACCTCTAGCAATCAGCCAGCCCTGGGACGGCTGGCCCCTCCCACCATCAAGGCCTCAGACGCAGAGCCTCATCTAAAGTGAAAAGAAACATGACTGATGGGTGGTCCAGGGCAGAGTGGCCTTTGGCCACGGTCCCCCAGGGACCTTAGTGTCCTCAGCTCCTGTGCCTGGGTCTTCGAGGCCCCCAGGCTTTGGCTGGCCCACCCAGCCCACAGTGGGCCCTGAGTATCCACTGTTCTGGAGCCTCCCGAGGGGCGCCCGTGGCCGGGCCACTCCCTGTCGTTGCATGAAGATGTCTGGGGGCTCTCGGGCCACAGGACGCTTCTCTTCATTGTCTAACAGCAAGAGGAACTGGCACGCAGGCAGGCCTGCCCCTGTGCCTTGGGACCAAAGCTCCAGGGCAGCACTGGCCCTGCAATGGGGTAGGTGGCATGTGCAGGCTGGGCCTGGCTAGGACGTGGGCTGTGCTCCTGCCCAAGGCCGCGGTTGGCATGAGCCATTTGGGATTCTGGTGTGTAGAGATGGTCTCTTCCACGGTAGCCCCCTGATGCAGGGCCTAGGGACTCACTGGTTGTTTCATGCTTGGGCTCTGGGAGCACCTGCCGTGGTTTCCTGCCACCTGCTGACCTGCCCCCATTATTGGGGGCCCTGGTGTTCAGATCTGTTTGTGAGCACCTCCTGACTCTCGGGCACCACCAAGTTTCCTGCTCCTTGTGTAGGCCTGAGGATGGAGGTCCTGGGGCCTCTGGTCAGCATGGGCAGCCTGCCCTTGTCCTCAGGGCCGGGCGTTCTAATGCCCCAGCACCCGTGGGGCCTGGGATTGGCTTGGGCTGCTGTGACCAAAGCCACAGTGTGGGCTGACCACAGCTCACCCAGGAGCTGTTCTTCCTGGGCCTTCTTCACCGCACCCTCCCCCCGTGTCCTCAAGGTTGTCCCCTGTGTGCTGTGATCTGGTCCCTTCCTGTAGGGACAGGGTCATGTTGGATCAGGGCCTCCTTTTGGAAGACCTCATCTCAAACGCAAAGACCTCCAGAGGCCTCGGTGTTAGTGCTTCAACGTGTGGGTTCTGGTGGGGAGACCCTCTCCCTTCCCCGCCTCCAGGCGTGGAGCCCTGGTCAGGGGGCCTCCGAGGGCCTCGCGGCTCTCCCAGTGCCTCCCTCCAGTCTCCCTGAGGTCGGTTCCCCAAGGCCCACACGCAGCTGCTGGTCCAGGCCCCGTGGCCACCCCAGCGCTGCCGTGGAGTGATGAAGCCTCAGACCACAAAAGCCACAAAGGCTGTGAGGTGTGCCCTGGAGGGCCCCTCGGAGCAGGAGGTGCCATGTGGGCGCCAGGATGGCAATGCCAGGTGCGGCCAGGTGGCCAGAGGACCATGGGCCCTGGTGGAACGGAAAGTGACCTCTGCAGTCAGCAAGAACTCCTGAGGCCACATGCAGCTGGGAGCCGGGGCCTGAGCCACCTGCCCTGGGAGCCGCCTGCCCTGGGAGCCGCCGCCTGCCCTGGGA